TGTGTGTGTGTGTGTGTGTGTGTGTGTGTGTGTGTGTGTGTGTGTGTGTTTTGTATGACGTGCAGAGCCGGCAGGGCCCACCACAGCAGCAGAGTTTCCACATAAAGGTGCAGGGACCCTTGTTCAGTATTTCCTGGTGTTTGTAAACCACTGCTCTCCTTGATCTGCACAGGATGTAAATCGCCATGTGAAATGCCTGCAGCTAACACACTACACCACAGACCAGCAGACGCTCTCAGCAAAGCAGCCATGCGCAGTATGTGAGGGAAGGGTGAAAGCTGTGCTCCAATAACAGTTTATTCACAAACACAGGTGCTGCTCTTGGCCCAGGAGCTGCAGTCTGCTGGTTGTGCCTGAAGCAGCCATGGGCCCTTGTCTCTGGAGTCCCCCTGAGATCGCAGCAGCAAGGCCGCAGAGTAAGAAGCTCAGTACGGCCAGCAGAACCCTGGGTGTGCACTGCACTGCACCACGCCACTCTGACTCACTTCGTCGATGAAGACGTGTGTGAACTCCATCAAACTCTTGGCACTGACGATCTTCTGCAGCAGGACACCGGTCGTCATGTAAGTGAGCTTGGTGTCCTCTGTGGCTATCTTCTCAAGCCCCACCTGTCAGGGACAAAGCAAAGGACAGAGGAGGGCCTTGCAAGCCTCAGGGCACCATCAACCTCCAGCTGTGTCCATGATGGGAGGCGAGGAAAGCTCCTGTTTATCATGAAGCAGAGGGGACAAAAAGGGACCTGGACGTCCCTCTTCGCTGGAAGCGTGGTGGGGAGACCGTGGCCTCTCTAGACATACCAACAATGTCACTCTTAAGTCAAAACAACAGGGTCTGAAGACAGTGTTGAGCCCGCAAAGGCTTCACTAATGGATCAACTCCCCGAGCCTGGGGGCACTAACTAACCCCGCCTCCGGCTCAAGTGGGAACGGAATCAAAGGTATTTTCAAAAACAGTGTTTTATGTCTTTAAAATAGCAGAGAGGTTTTGCTCTACAAGCCACAGGTTCCCTTTAGCCCTTTAACTTCTGATAGGAAACAGTGTGGCCTACCATGACCTTTGACGCTGCCCAGGCCTCACCTGGTAGCCCACCACGCCGCCCAGAGGCCAGGAGCGCTCCTTACTGATCCACCGGGCAATGCTGCTGGCCCCGATTTTCCGGGGCTGCGTGACCACGATGTTGCAGTAGGTGGCGCACTGGATGCAGTGGTCCAGGAGGTACTGCGGGAGCTGCGTGCTCTTCCCACTGCCCGTGGCCCCATGGATGACCACCACTGAATTGCTCTCTATCAGGGAAATGACCTAGGATTAAAGATATGTAAAGCTCTTTCAAAAATGCCACGGAATGAACACTGACTGGTCACCTCACCTATGTGCCCCGGGCCAGTGCCCAGGGTGGAGGGAGAGGCCTCAGGATTCCTTCTCCAACCACCTTTCTTTTTTTTTTTTAACATTTTATTAGGGGCTCATACAACTGTTATCCCAATCCATACACACATTAATTGTGTAAGGCGCATTTGTACATCGTTTCTCAAAACATTTTCTCTCCACTTAAACCCCCGACATTAGGTCTCCAACCACCTTTCAAAGCTAACTCTGCTCCTGACCATCTGACCGTCACAGGAGCGTGAGAGGGCCTCCGGTGACCAGAGGCAGCCATGGAAACCTGGATGCGGGCTAGGCTCCCTACATCTCAGTCTCTTCACTGGTCTCCTCTCTCAGTCCAGTGGGACTTCTGCACCGCTGGCTACGCCTTAACATGTTTGATTTTTAATTTTTTGTGAGGAGAGTACATGTAATTCAATAAAGAAACATGAAGGGGCAGCTCTCTGAGTTCCTGCACTCAAGTGCCCTTAGAACTCTGCACAATGCTCCTGATACCGTTTGACAGCTAATGGCCATTGTCTTGTCTGAGCACAGATGACAGGTGTTTTAAACCTCCACCCTCAGTCCCCCACCCCCACCCCACCCCCACTCCTCCGCGACCTGCTCCAGCACCGGATATGCTCAGTGGAGACAACTGAATGTGAATGCTGACCTCAGGTACAGCTACCTACTCTACCAGAGCCGTGAACCACCCGCTGTTAGATTCTGGAACAGTCGTGGTGCTTTGATCTGCAAGTGTTCTTGCCACTGGCAGACTTAACACAGGTTTCCAGACATTGACTTTCAAGCAAGTTTGAGGTACAGCCAGCCTATTGATCTACCTGGCTGGCACTGTTAATAAAACTGAATCAAATTGCTTCGTCACAGGCCCCCAAAAACCCAGCCAAGGGCGAAGGAAGCGCAGCAGGCTCTGAGGAAGGACCCTCATCTTCTGTCACAGAGGTGATGGGGAGTGCCTTGATGGCAGCTCGCCAGGCAAGGGCCACGGCAAGGGCAGACGTTCCAGAGGCAAGAGGAGAGGCTGGGTGGCAAACTCAATGTCAGGTGGCCCAGTTAAAGGGAAATGGTGAGCTTGGCCACAAGCCACAAGTTTCCAGATCATCACCCCCTCACCACCCGCCCCTGCCCAGGGCACTTTTATCCACAGGGCAGCCAGCATTACCTCTTCCTTACATCGATTTATAGGCAAATCTGGGTATTTATACGTTGTCTCAGGTATGCAGGTCACATTGTTTAATTTAGCCAGCGGAGGCCTGAGACCTGGAGGCAGACAAAACAAGCACGATGTCATTTCGTGTCTAAGAAAAGGCACAGGCTGGGTGAACAACCTGGAGGAGAAAACAAGGGACCGACAGTCCCGGGGGGACATGGGAGAGGGAGGTGGGGGAGGAAGTGGTGTTAACCAACCCAGGGACAAGGGAACGGCCAGTGATCCAAATCGGTGGTGAGGAGAGTGTAGGAGGCCTAGTAGAGCGTGACCAAGGATAATGTGACCAAGAGGACTTACTGAAACCCAAATGAAGGCTGAGCATGATAGTGGGACAAGAGGAAAGTCAAAGGGAATGGAGGAAAGAACTAGGAGGCAAATGGACAGTCATAGAGGTCTAAATAAAGGCATGTACATATGTAAACATTTATATATGTTTAATAGATTTCATGATGCTCACCTTCCCAACACAATCGCTGAAGACAAAGTGGGTGAATAAGCAAATGTGGTGAAGAAAGCTGATGGAGCCCAGCTCTCATAAGATATAGTGTCTGGGGTCTTAAAGGCTTGAAGGTAAACAAGTAGCCATCCAGCTGAGAAGCAACAAAGCCCACATGGAAGAAGCACACCAGCCTGTGTGATCACCAGGTCAAAGGGATCAGGTATCAGGCACCAAAGAACAAAAAATCATATCATTGTGAATGTGGGGGAGTACAGATCAGGGACCCAAGACCCATTTGTAGGCAACTGGACATCCCCTTACTGAAGGGTCGCAGGGAGGAGACTAGCCAGTCAGGGTGCAGGGTAGCAATGATGAAACATACAACTTTCCTCTAGTACCTAAATGCTTCCCCCACCCCCTCTCACTATCATGCTCCCAATTCTACCTTACAAATCTGGCTAGACAGAGGATGTACACTGGTACAGATAGGAACTGGAAACACAGGGAATCCAGGACAGATGATCCCTTCAGGACCAGTGGTGAGAGTGGCAATACCGGGAGAGTGGAGGGAGGGGTGGAAAGGGGGAACCGATTACAAGGATCTACATATAACCTCCTCCCTGGGGGATGGACAACAGAAATGTGGGTGAAGGGAGACGTCGGACAGGGTAAGATATGACAAAATAATAATAATTTATAAATTATCAAAGGCTCATGAGGGAGGAGGAAACGGGGAGGGAGGGGGAAAATGAGGAGCTGATACCAAGGGCTCAAGCAGAAAGCAAATGTTTTGAGAATGATGGCAACAAATGTACAAATGTGCTTGACACAATGAATGTATGTATGGATTGTGATGAGTTGTACTAGCCCCCAATAAAATGATTTTTTTTTTAAAAATTTTAAAGACTACAAGAAAACAAAATGCTCTAAAATTGATTGTGGTGATGATTGTACAACTCTTCTTTATGTGACTGAACTATTGAATTGTATGAGGTGTGGATTGTGTGCCAATAAAACTATTTAAAAAAGAAAAGAAAGGCACAGTAACCAGGCCACAGCTCAACCTGGCCTCTATGTACATGTGCCCATGACCCTGCAGTGACACCCCTTGCAGTCCACTGGTCATGGCACTATGCTGGGCATGTGTCTGGGGCCATTCGGCTCAATCGGCTGTATCTTGTCAGCGCTTGCAGTACTTTTCCATTCCCACCTACGTGACGTAGTTTTGTGATTAGGTTATCTCCCCTCTGAATAGCCTGTCCTTGGGACGGCTGAGTTTAGCCTTCAAGTCTGCCTAGAAACAGATAAGGGGGTTTTCATACATGGTGTGACAAAGCACCTATATCCTGCTTCCCCTTGATTAGGTAGGAGATTGTCTTCACCCTATTTACATATCTAGTGCCTGCACCTGATTTGCATAAAATGACTTCACTTCACGGACCTGGTTGAAGACTGTAAACTGTTACTGAGTGCTTCCCCCGGACTCCTTAATTGGTCTATTGCCAAAGTGGCCTAATTTACATGTGCGATGGGTGTTTCCCTCCCCCTGGCCTATATAGGCTGCAACCTTTCACTCAATAAAGAGAGACTTGATCAGAATACTGTCTTGTCTCCATTTCTCGTGTCTCTTGTTCCCCTCAATTCCCACTCCCTCCTCCAGGGTCTGCGCTGATGTTCCTGCAGGTCGGGGCGGGCATGCTGCCATAGCCTGGGCATGGAGCATGCAAAGCACCCATCACATCGTCACCTTAGCCGCAAAGAAGGAAAAGCACATTTGTATTTACAGCTTCCAAGATGCACCATTCCCCCTCCCAGAAGGGCACACCCAACCTCTCCCAACAGCAACCACGTGACCGAGGGCCGCGCACACCAGGCATGCACAGGCGCGCACACCCACTCAGAGGAGTACACACACTGCCCCACTCTCACTGCTGACAGGCTGGCCACCAGAAACAGGCCTGATCACCTTTCCACATAATGCGGGGAGAAGAGGCGGGTGCAGGAGAGGGAGGAAGAGGCCGTGGGAGGAGCTCTCAAAGGAGAGAGCAAGAAGGTGACAGAAGATATGAGCAAAGAGGGGCAGGCAGGTGGTGTGTTTTCTGACAAGTCATCCAGCCTGGGCTTCCAGGGCCACTACTCCAAGCGCAGCCCGTGGCCAGCACTAATGGAGCTTGTAGCACTAGATTACCCACGTGTTGTAGGCTGCTACTTAATAAAAAAGAGGAATTCCACAAGAAAAAATTCCCAGAAGCCCTTGCAGTGCTGTCTGGCCCATGGGCCTTCCTGTACAAACACTCCCTGACGTTTTCAGGTCACAGGCTGGAGCTACCCCCTCAGGGCACCCGTCCGTCCCCTGCTCCCCCGTGCCCTGCTGGCAGCAGGCAGTTTCCGCTCCAGTCCACTCCATGGATCAGCAATAACCCAGAGGGAGGGGCCACAGAGTTTTCAGAGCAAAGGGCCCGGATTAATTTCTGGTCAATTCACCAGCACATATGGAAAGGGAAATCCACTGAGTCTCAACCTCAAAGATGCCATCTTCCCTTTCACACTACTTCTTCATCCAAAGTTATTAACAGGAGCTGGGGAAACAAGGAATCAGAGACCTAGCTAGTTTATCAGCTCTAGCCCACCCCACTTCCTGTCCGCTGAACAGGAAGTCTAACCCACAAGCTCAGCAGTCGGGAGACCACACCGCATAGGATGAGTTTCTATTAAAGGTACTTTAAATTTGGAAATGGGTAGTGGGTGATGATTGCGTAATTAATGTCACTGAATTGTCCAAATGAAAATGGCTGAAATGACCAGTGTTTTGTTATTTATATATGTATGTGTGTATAATAGTTTTTATAAGTCTTGCATCATCTCACATAAATAACATAAAACATTTATTTTAAAGGCAAGACAATATAAATGACAGAAAGTTTAATTACTGTATTACTGATTTAACCATAAAATTAAATCTTCAAACAGCTAATTATATAGCTCTTTGCTCCAAGTACGGGTGGTATTCTAAATATAAACCTAGCTTGAAGGCCATTCTCCATGGGGCTCTCTGAACGCCAGCACACAGACTAGGGGGCCTGGGAGTGAAGAACCACCACCAGGACTGAGCTCACTGAGTGCAGAGACGTCCTGAGAAGCTCTGGCGGCAGGGAAGCTCCCGTTTGGCCGCGAAGCAGGTTCCTACTGCACCTGTGGCCATAAGATGGTGCCTCGGTGATCTACAAAGTCCACGAAGTGCGTGCGCTTGGATTTCCATTTGGAGGCCATTTTTACAAACACCCATGCATACATGAAACAAGACTTGTGTCGCTCCAAATTCCCAAGCCCTCGGCACCGTCGTCCCTGCTAAGCGAAGGTGCTGGACTGGAACGAGCTACCAGGAGTCAGTGTGGTGTTCACAGACACATGCTAGGAACATGCACTTGTCTATTAGCCGGTGGGGGTGGCGTGATCACAGAGTGCTTAGGGGAGGGAGGTGGGGCAGGGGGCAGAGTAGAGGAGAAGATATGAGGAGAGGACAGAAGTGGAAGTCCAAGGGATGCCAGGCAGGTGCCCTGAGCCACCTACCCAGAGACAATCAAAGAATTTCAAACAGTTAGTGGAAACATGGAATTAAAAGATAATGAACACCTTTGTGCATGCTAACTCTGCTCTCTCTTCTTCAACACTCCCAAGCACTTCAGAACTCTATGTGGCTCCTCTTCATCCTTCTTGACCCTTCCGTCCTGTGCCCTAGGTGCCCCACACAGCAAACCAGTGCACCCGCCCCTTCACCCTTGCTCCCTTCTGCTCACTCCAAGCAAAACCCTCGGGTCCTCCAGCCCATTCCCCACACAAGGACTAGTGTTCCTTCCAAATCACAAACCTCACCCTGGGTCATCCCTGCTCCCTCCACGCCCACCGAGAAGCCCTGTGGCCTCAGAGAGGCCCCCACTGTTCTACATATTCAGACAGACATCCTCAGAATGGGCCACTTGGTCATGGCACTGCTCAGGCCTCAATGACTGCCAGCCTCATCTCAGATCTAGTCTTGGCTCCCCGTAGCTATGGAAACCAAAGCCACACACATACAATGGCTGAAACCACAGCAGGTATTCCCATACAGCTCTGGAGGTCAGCTGGCCAGGGTGTGGGCAGAGCTGGCCCCGTCCAGAGCCTCCAGGGCGGTTCTGTTTCTGACCTTGTTGCATTGGGCTCCCATCTGCCTGCACCCTGGGGGCCTCTGCTGGCCTGCCTCTCCAGCCGCCCTCTTCACCAGGAGCCTCGTGACCACAATGATCCTGACTGGCTAGCCCCGAACAACAAGCAGTCCCAGAGCAAGAAGCTACCTTGATCACAGCTGTAACACTGAAGGTTCTGGGGACTTGGACATGGACATCTTTGGGGCCAATGGTCAATGGATCACAATGACAGGCTGTGCCCACAACCACTCTCTGTTCCCAGCCTACTCTGCCTAGAGGGCTTGTCCTCCACTTCAGCTCTATACTTTCCTGATCCTGTCCCCCGTCCTAAAGTTGGCTCATGCGATCACACAGCTGGCTTCTTGACACCTCCCTATGTGGCTTCATGACTCAGCCAGAATCTGCACGAGGAGGGGTCTGATTCCTCCGTGCCAGTCACAGCCTCCCTGCACACACATCTCCATGACATCAGGTAAGGAGTGCGCCCCGCACGTGGCAGGGGCCACCACGCATCACAGGCCAATGTGCCATGGCAGTTGCTCACACCCAGCTGCTCCTCACAGAGGCAAGCCTTGTGGCCTGCTACCGGTCTGCAGATGGTGGTGCCAGTCTACATGTGCCCCAGGGCCAGTGCGTGCATGTGACAGGCAGGGCGACATCTGTAACTGACTACAAGGTTCCCCTACACATGAATACCATCTTTCCACAGCACACATGGCTAACAAAGCTGCCAGGGGGTCAGCCACCAACGAGGATCCAGCCTCGCTGAGGGATGTGTACCACAGACAAGCAACAAAGGCGCAAGTTTCCTACACTCACAAGTGACTTCTTCTCTGTGTGAATTACCCCTGTGTAATAGTGTGCTGGGTTATCGAGGCAAATCCTGCCCACAGGGCAACCAGAATACAAGATGATGCCGACACACGTGAGGAGCGCTGAGGGGGATGAGAAAGGCCCACGTGCTCCACCCACGGCAAACGTGAGTCTGGAGAGTGCAGCCAGACTCAAGCTTTGCTGCTGTCGCCACTGCTGAGCACCATGGAGCCTGGGCCCCTCACGGTGGCCCCACAGGACCAACGTAGACAGCCTCATCCTTCTCCCAGGGAGCAACTGGTGGGTTGAACAGCTGACCTTTCCAGTTGTAATTGAGTGTTTAATCACTGCACCACCAGAGCTGACAAGATTACAACCTGGAAACCTCTTGTATCTTGGCTTCCTGTGTGTCAAAACAAGACTGGACGCCAGACCACACCAGAGTGGAGGGTGGCCCTCTAGCATGACAGAGGTGGGGTTTCCCAGATAAACTGATGGGAGCTGAGGCCCATTTATGAAGTTAAAAATCTACGGGCACGTTCAAGAACGTGCTCAGATAACCTGTGCAGAGAAATCAGCTGCACACTCAGACTCCAAAATGAGAACAGCC